ACTTCAGTTTCATCCATACTACCAGAACTGATAGAAGAGGTGGAATTGCTGCCATTTTCTCTAAGACTAATTCTGCAAGGAAATCTCCCTGGGAGAATTCCCGTCATTTGAATACCTTGCCATGTCTATACACTGTAACACTACTACCCTACTTATAACTGTTTATCGTCCTCCAAAATCAAAACATGGCTTCATAGAAGAGTTTTCTCAACTCTTATCTGTGGTCTCCCTAGGTTATGACTGGTGATTTTAATGTAAATATCGACATCAAAACAGATTCATATGTTACAAACTTTATTAGCTTACTTGAGGCATTTGACTTCTCACAGCATGTACATGGATCTATGCAACAAAGGCCATACTCTTGATTTTATTATCTCTAAGGGACTTAACATCACTGCCTCCTTTATTATGGATGTAGCTTTTTCTGATCACTGCTGCATTTTTTTTGAAGTATCTGCTACTCCCGAACGATCAAAAAACACGTAATTAATAATAATACCGCTGAAACCTTTCGAAAAATTATAAATGAGTCGATGTTATCCAAACCCTGTACAGTCGGGGATCCTGTGGCAAACTTTACAAAAATACAGAATATCTTTGAAAAAATTGCACCTATGAAAATTAATCATACGGGAACACAAAAGGCTCCCAGGAGAAATATCGCCAGGCAGAGAGATAATGGAGAAAAACAAAACTTAACATCCATTATGACATCTATAAAGAAAAACTAAATGAATATAATAACGTCATTAAACAAGCAAGACAGTCCTTCTTCTACAAAATTATAAGTGAGAACATTGATAAGTCCTTTTCTCCACTGTCAATAAACTCATAAATCCACCATCCACCATACCATTAGAAATGCTGTCCTCTGAAAAATGTGAGCAATTTGCCTAATTTTTCAATAACAAAATCACAGTTATTAGACAAGGCATTAGTGCCCTGAGGTCCAACATCAAACCTGCACTTCCTCTAAACAAGCCGTCTTGCGTCATGGCACATTTTGATTGTTTAGATCTAGCAGAATTAGACAATACCGTTGCTCAGCTCAGGTCCTCTACCTGCTACCTGGATCCCCTCCCAACTAAATTCTTTAAAACAGTTATCAGCTGCCTAGCAACTGAGGTCTTAGATCTCATAAACAGGTCTCTTCAGTCAGGCATGGATGCTGTTTCTGGGTCCAGGACCCCCTCCACATTCCTGCCTCCTGCCTCATCTTTACTGAAAACTAGAAGTGAAAAAAATAAAAAATAAAAAGATTGATTTGCTACTGCCCGCCTGCCTGTCCTGGGTGAGGATCCTCTCCTCTGTCTGTCATCCTGAGGTTTCTTCCTTTTTTTAACCCTATTAAGGGTTTTTTCTTGTGAGTTGTTCCTCAGCCGATGTGAGGGTCCATAAGGGCAGGGGGCGCTCACCACTGTTACCGCCTCTTTCTTTTTGTTCTTTCTTTCTCTTTTCTTTGCATCCTGCTCTCTTGCCATCTTAATGGTTTAAAACCACTGTAAAGCACATTGAGAGCCTTATGTGTGAAATGTGCTCTATAAATAAAATTGACTTGAATTGAATTGAATTGAATCCACAAGAGGAGCGTCACAAAAGCAGAGACGGATTATGAATAAAAAAGGAAAAATCAGCTCAATCAAAGAGAATAGAATTCATACAAATTCAAGAACTCAACAAAATATTAAAAACAAGTAAAATTGTAAATACAGTAGTCTGAAAGGCTTGTGGTATTCATTAAATAACTAAAAGACCATATCAGACCCAAGCACTAAATCAAATAGAAGTGTTATAATCTATCTTCATGATAGTGTTACAGCCTCACTTGTATCTGTTGGTTTTTATTTTATTACTCACACTAGTCATATAATTACAAATTGCAAGTGAATATTTTAATAGCCATGTCTAGCCAATGAAGAGTGACAGGCTAAGAATGTCACCGAGTCACCAACTAGACAGAATGTGGTATAATTTGAACACCTCCCTTTGTCAAAATGTCATAATGCCACACCAGGGTTTGAGAATGAGTGGCAAAATTAAC